TCAGCGTCGAACGGGCTGCTGCTGGCAGTATAACGACGGGCAATGTAAATTCGGCACGGGTTGTCGTTTCAAGCACGAGTGCTCTGGGTGCGGCGGATCGCACCCCGCCTCCAAATGCTTTAAGCGGGGCAGGACTGGCGACAAGGGTGACGCCATGGGCTCTAAGGGCGAGGACGCCAGTGGACGTCGGCGCGATGCAACCGTGGTTAAAACGTTATAGAAATAAAAAGGCGGCTGCCTTACTCCTGGAAGGTTTTTCGTTTGGTTTTTGGATTCCCCATCAACATCGTCCGGCGTCAAAGGTATGCCGGAATTTGCGTTCGGTCTTTGACCACCCTGGGGTGGTCAGGGACAAGTTGGCTAAAGAAGTGGCTTTGGGGCGTATGGCAGGCCCTTTTCGGGAATCTCCTCTCCCTGATCTCCGGGTGTCGCCATTAGGCGTCGTACCCAAGAGAGAACAGGGAAAATTTTGGCTCATTCATCACTTATCGCACCCCCAAGGGGGTTCTGTAAATGATGACATTGCATCAGAATTATGCCGTGTTTCTTACGCCTCATTTGATGCTGCGGTTTGTATGGTCAGGGATGCCGGATCGGGGGCACTCATGGCAAAAGCAGACATCGAGTCTGCTTTTCGTCTTTTGCCGGTTCACCCGGGGTGTCATCACCTCTTAGGTTGCTATTTTGAGGGGCATTACTATGTGGACATGTGCCTCCCGATGGGCTGTGCGATATCCTGCTTTTACTTTGAATGTTTTAGTTCCTTTCTTGAATGGGTGGTGAGAATGGAGTCTGGTCACAACTCCCTCCTTCATTACCTAGACGATTTTTTGTGTGTTGGTCCCGCGCACTCCTCAATCTGCGCACATATTTTGCAGTCATTGGCGGATGTGGCCTCTGGGTTTGGTGTGCCTCTGGCGCCCGACAAGACAGTTGGCCCTTCCACGTGCCTGTGTTTCCTGGGAATTGAGATTGATTCAGTTATCGGGGAATGTCGGCTCCCAGTGGACAAACTGGTGGACTTACGGGGGTCTGTGCGGGAAGCGGGCTCCTTGCGAAAGATCACTCTTCGACGCCTTCAATCCCTCTTAGGCAAGCTGAACTTTGCCTGTCGGATCATGCCTATGGGCAGAGTATTCAACAGGCGCCTGGCGGCTGCCACGGCTGGAATTTCGAAGCCCTTGCATTTCATCCGCTTAACCAAGGCGCTCAGGGACGATCTGGTAGTCTGGGCTGTTTTCCTTGAAACTTACAATGGAAGGTCTTATTGGCAGCAGCCTGAGGTTTCAAATGCCGCGCTTCACTTGTTTACAGATGCTGCGGGTTCCTCTGGCTTCGGGGCAATCCTGGGGCCTCATTGGTGCGCAGAGCCGTGGCCTGTATCGTGGGTCGATTCAGGCCTTACCAAGAACTTGGCGTTCTTGGAGCTCTTCCCCATCTTGGTGGCTGTTCACTTATGGGGGATGGAGCTCAAAGACAGGCGCGTCGTCTTCCACTGTGATAACCTGGGTGTGGTTCAGGCCATCAATAACTTGACGGCCTCTTCCCCTCCGGTGGTTAGGCTATTGCGTCAATTGGTTTTGCGATGCTTGTCTCTGAACATAACGTGCCGTGCTGTGCATATTCCTGGGGTCATGAATACCACGGCTGACTCTCTTTCTCGCTTTCAATGGCAGGTGTTTCGGAAAGCCGCTCCGGAAGCAGACTTGGAAGGCCTCCCCTGTCCCGGAGAACTATGGTCCCTTGGCCTGAGCGGATAAGGGAATGGATACGGTCCTCGGTGTCTGAGGCGACTTGGGTCCGGTATGGTAAGGCTTGGGGGGAATGGGTTGCTCTCGAGCAGGATCATGGAGGCTACGCTTCCCCGGCGGAACGAGTTCAAGGTTTGTTACATTTGCTTTGGTTCTGGGAGGCTTGCGGGTGTTCGCCGGCTACTGTTTCTGGGAAGCTTTCCGGTCTTAGTTTCTGGTTTAACTTAACTCGGGTGCCGGATGTCACTAAGGATTTCTTGGTTAAACTTGCGATGCGTGGTTGGCGTAGGGGCCCTCGTGGGCAGGATTCTCGTAGGCCGGTTTCAGGGGCATTGCTGCTAGGAATTGCCTCAGTGCTTCCGCAGATATGTTATTCTGCTTATGAAGCCAGTTTATTTCGGTTGGCCTTTATTTTTGCCTTTTTTGGGGCCCTCCGGATTGGGGAACTAATCAGCCCTAGCAGGGGGATTCCGGGGGGTTTGTTATTTCACGATGTGTCCCTCTTGGATGGTGCGGTGCGTTTCTTGATACGACGGTCTAAAACTGACGTTGTTGGTAAGGGTCGCTGGGTTACCCTTCGCACCATCCCTAATTCGTCTGTTTGCCCAGCCTCTGCGTTTCAGTCCTACTGCTCCATACGCCCGAGTCTTGCGGGCCCGTTGTTAATGCACGAGGATGGTACTTACCTGTCTCGTTTTCAATTCCTCCGGGTATTTCGCTTGGCACTCGATATGCTGGGAATCCCGAGTGGTGAATTTGGGGGTCATTCCTTCCGGATTGGGGCAGCTACTGAAGCTTCTCGGTTGGGTTTCTCTGATCAAGAGATTCAGAGGATTGGGAGGTGGGAATCTGGGAGGTTTCGTTCTTATATCCGGCCCACGCGTCTGATGGGTGCCCCCCTTGTGTTTTCTCCGCAGGGCCCGGCCGACGGATCTGGCTGATTGGGCATTCGTATATCTACTGGGCCCACCTGCGGGCAGGGGTACGCCCGGGTGGGACGCGACTTGGAATTCCCCGGGAGCTGGCTGAGGTCCGATGGTTCGGTTTTCGGGGCATGCGCTGGGGCCAGCTCTTGCCGGAGGTGTTACAGTTAGCCACATTGTTGGGGGCCCCTGATGTATTGGTGATACACCTGGGGGGAAACGATCTTGGGGCGCTGCCTGCTTGGGGGCTTAGTGAGCTCATTAGAAGGGATTTGGCGCGCTTGCTAGTCCTTTTCCCACAGCTCTGCTTAGTCTGGTCAGGTATAGTATCTAGGAACTATTGGCGCCGCGCGAGGGATCAGGGGGCGATTGAGCGCTGCAGGGTTAAAATCAACAAGAGGGTGTCCAAATTTGTACTCGGGGTTGGGGGTGTCACAGTGCGACACCGGATATTTGAAAAGGAAGCGGCGATCTATTTTCGCCCAGATGGGGTTCATCTCACGGATGTGGGTTTAGATTTATTTAATCTGGCGCTGCAGGACGCGTTAGAGCAGGCCATGGCGTTGGTGGGGAGTCGCGCCAGCTGATTTAGGCTTAAATGCAGCAGGCGCTAGTGGCGGGTATGGTCCTTGCCAAACCAGTTGGAAAACGAGTACACTGGAAGAAGGAATGCTGGGTCTGGTCCCTCCCCTAACCTCGGAGAGTTGTGGTAATTGGGCGTGCCCCCCGTGCCAGTAAAAGGCGGCCAGGGGTTGGCATGGGGTATTGGAAGGCCAAGGTAAAAGGCCTGTTATCTTGGACGAGGGGGGAGGGCAGGTACCCTGGAAGGGGGTACTCGAGTTATTATGGGTCGGTTGGCAAGGACAAGTTCTCGAGTAAATTATTGGTTGATTTATTTATGCTTGTTATTATAAATAAAGCTGTGGCCTGTTTTATACCACACTTATGTCTCTTGGTTTTAATTGGGGGGAAATCGGGAAAATGTAATTATGATTGCATTGGTTCGCACCACACAGTAACCACTACCTACACACAAGGCCCAGAGGAGGCGGGCTGAAAAGCTAGCCGGATAGGAGGCATGTGTGGGTGTGGTGAGTGTAGGTGTCACATGTGGGGGGTGTCACTTAGGATGGGGGTGGGGTGGGGTCATATAAAGGGCAGTCATTTTGTCCCTTTACCTCAGCCATCTTAGAATAAACGGCTGGTAACATCTTCCCTCCCGCCCACCCTTGATTGTTGATTGTTGTATATTGTATATCTCTAACTTTCTTTCTTGTCACAGCTGGCGGGTATGGTCCTTGCCAAACCAGTTGGAAAACGAGTACACTGGAAGAAGGAATGCTGGGTCTGGTCCCTCCCCTAACCTCGGAGAGTTGTGGTAATTGGGCGTGCCCCCCGTGCCAGAAAAAGGCGGCCAGGGGTTGGCATGGGGTATTGGAAGGCCAAGGTAAAAGGCCTGTTATCTTGGACGAGGGGGGAGGGCAGGTACCCTGGAAGGGGGTACTCTAGAGTTATTATGGGTCGGTTGGCAAGGACAAGTTCTCGAGTAAATTATTGGTTGATTTATTTATACTTGTTATTATAAATAAAGCTGTGGCCTGTTTTATACCACACTTATGTCTCTTGGTTTTAATTGGGGGGAAATCGGGAAAATGTAATTATGATTGCATTGGTTCGCACCACACAGTAACCACTACCTACACACAAGATTGTACAGCAAATGCTAATGCCAATCATTGATTATGGGGATGTAGCATATGCATCTGTACCTTAATAAACTCAACACATTGTATAACATGTTCTGCCAATTTGTGCTACAATCAGGGCCGGATTAAGAGCACAGTGGGCCTGGTGCTGACAATTATGATGGGCCTAATTATGGAATCTTATCGACCAAAAACACTAAAACAATTATACCTCCCGAGCGTCATGTATCTGATGGAGATGGTGCTGGAGGGAAACTCATAGAATGCAGCTATAAGAAAACACATACTCTATGCTAATCTCTCTCTAATTTATGCTTTCATCTTTCAAGTAAATCCAATACCCCCTAACATCAGTGTCCAGTGAAGCAGGAAGTCAATGGGCGGGGTAAAAGGGTGTGCCACTGGCACGAATCACGTGATAAGACCTGCCAAAAGGGGGGCATGTTTGTCCAAACAATTGGAAGGTCAGCCTGGCATGAATGCATGTCAGGCTGCCTACCGATCCTGCAGGCTGTCCAACTAAGGGCATACTATGCAGGCAGCACCTTGAGCTTGACATAAATGCATCTAATGATGCACTCGCTCCATGCTTTCTAAGGACTGTCCCCTAGCACTCGCTGGTCCACTTGTCTCCTTACCTTCTTACTAGCAGGCAGAAGTTCCTGGTATAGTCTGAGACAGAGAAAAGGTGTCTGTAGTGAGTGTAGAAGAAAGGGGACATGCCACAGTGTTAGAGAGAACAACGTCTGCATTACCTAAACTAACTTTAATGTCAGCCAGTGCACACAAGTTTTGTTCCCATACATCCCTCTTAAGTTTCCAAACTTAAAGGGACACTATAGTCACCAGAACAACTACAGCTTATTGTATTTGTTCTGGTAAGTAGAAGTAGCATTCCATTTAGGCCTTTTGCAGTAAACACTGTCTTTTAAGAGAAAATAACTCCACTGGCCGCTCCCTAGATGGCTGCTAGAGGTGCTTCCTGGGGCAGTACTGCCTAGTCTGCAGCACTGCCATTCAGTGTCTCCACCCTCTGCATGCAGACACTGAACTTTCCTCATGATTGATTCAATTTATCTTTATGAGGAGATGCTGATTGGCCAGGGCTATGTTAGACTTGTGCTGGCTCTGCCCCTGATCTGCCTAGTTGACAGTCTCAGCCAATCCTATGGGGAAGTATTGTAATTTGCTCAGATCACCACTTCTAAGCCAGCAGCTGCAGACTTGAATACAAGTAATATTTTACTATATTTAGGGAGGCAAGAAGGGGCCAGGGTGGTGGTTTTAACATAATAGGGTAAGAAATACATGATTGTGTTACTGACCCTATAGTGCTCCTTTAAGCAAGAATATGTGAAGCGTAGTTAAGGTTGCCACCTTTTTTGGAAAAAAATACCAGCCTTAATCATTTGTATAATTAATTAGTTATGCGTGACATCACATGATGTAAATCACAAGGAGTGACAGCAGAGAAAATTCTGTAAAATCACCAACAAACTACTCACAGTTTGATTCTGCTGTATAGATGGATTGCTCCCAGTGTCTCCCAGTGTCTCAGTCTCGCAAGTCACCCAGTGTCTCAGTGTCCCTATGTATCACAGTGTCAGTGTCCCCATCTCGCCCAGTCCCCTAGACTCCCAGTGTCTGTGTACCCATTTCTCCCAGTGTCCCAATGTCTGTGTGTCCCCATGTCACTAGGATACTGGGGACACTGAGAGACATGGGGACACAGACATTTAGGGAAACTAGGAGAAATGGGGACACTGAGACACTAGGGACACAGACACTGGGAGACATGGGGACACTGAAACATTTGGGGACACTAAGACACTAGGGACACAGAGACATGGAAACACAGACACTGGGAGACTAGGGGACACTGTGAGACTAGGGGACACTGGGAGACAGACACTTGGGGACACTGGGAGACATGGGGACAGTTGTGGACATAGACATGGGGACACTGGGACATATAGGACATTTGAAACATTTGGGGACACTAAGACACTAGGGACACAGAGACATGGGAACACAGACACTGGGAGACTTGGGGACACTGGGAGACAGACACTTGGGGACACTGGGAGACATGGGGACAGTTGTGGACATAGACATGGGGACACTGAGACACTAGGAACACAGACACTGGGAGACATGGGGACACTGAAACATCTGGGGACCCTAAGACACTAGGGACACAGACACAGAGACTAGGGGATACTGGGAGACTAGGGGACACTGACTGGGAGACAGACATTTGGGGATACATGGGGACAGTTGTGGACATAGACATGGGGACACTGGGACACATGGGGACACTAGGCACACTGAGAGACATGGGACACAGACACTGGGAGACTTGGGGACACTGAGACACTAGGGACACTGGCTGGGGGACATGGGAACATCGTGTCTCCGTGTCCCAATGTCTCCCAATGTCCCTATGTCTTACAGCATCTCCATGTGTCCCAGTGTCCCCTAGTGTCTCAGTGTCCCCATGTTTTCCAGTGTCCCCAAGTGTCTCAGTGTCCCCATGTGTCTGTGTCCCCAGGTCTCCCAGTGTCTGTGTCCCCATGTGTCCTAGTGTCTCAGTGTCCCCTAGTGTCTGTGTCCCCATGTGTCCCCTAGTGTCTCAGTGTCCCCATATGTCCCCTAGTGTCTCAGTGTCCTCTAGTGTCCCGGTGTCCCCATGTTTTCCAGTGTCCCCAAGTGTCTCAGTGTTCCAAGGTCTCCCAGTGTCTGTGTCTTAGTGTCTCAGTGTCCCCTAGTGTCTGTGTCCCCATGTGTCCCCCAGTGTCTGTGTCCCCTAGTGTCTCAGTGTCCCCATATGTCCCCTAGTGTCTCAGTGTCCCCATGTGTCCCTGCTGCCTTTCCCCCCATCCCTCACCTGAGCTGTAGAGCTGCTGTCTGGACTCTATGCCGTGTAGCTGCTCCCCCACAGATCAGTGAGTAGTAGAGAGAGGCAGGGATATTCTGTAACTTCCTATACCTGCCTCTCTCCACACACAGTGACCCCTACTGGCCGGTGCTGGTATTGCAGCGTAATTTCCATTTATTCTGAGAAAATTACCTGCATTTGTATTGCCGGTATTACTGCAATACTTGCACGGCAGCCTCAAATACCAGCTGTGCTAGTAAAATACCAGTCAGGTGGCAAACCTAAGAGTAGTGTGTAAAAAAAAAAAAATTAAATTTTTTTTTTTTTTTTTAAATGGGCCTATTCCATGGGCCTGAGCCTGGAGCTGCAGCTCCATCAGCCCCTATGTTAATCCGGCCCTGATTGCCGGTATTACTGCAATACTTGCACGGCAGCCTCAAATACCAGCTGTGCTAGTAAAATACCAGTCAGGTGGCAAACCTAAGAGTAGTGTGTAAAAAAAAAAATTAAATTTTTTTTTTTTTTTTTTAAATGGGCCTATTCCATGGGCCTGGGCCTGGAGCTGCAGCTCCATCAGCCCCTATGTTAATCCGGCCCTGTTAATAGGGAACACATGGGATGGGCGGCAGCATTGTAACCTAGCTGTGTGATACAAAAGTGAATACAAATACAAAGAAACTAGTCCTGCGCTCAAACTCCCATCACTCCTGGGTGGCAGCAATAACCACAGTACACATCAGCCAAAATACATATAGTAAAAACCAAAGAAAAAAAAGTTACCTGCGCTCTTTCCACATCCTCAATTAAACAAATTGAGGTTTTTAGTTACTTCCAATGGCCATGAGAGGGTAAGCCCACCTGCCACATCAAGGAAGACCTCTTAGGTGGGTCTTAACTCTAACCATTCACCTTGCTTCCTTGAGCTTCTTGCAAAAATATCTCTAATGACACAGAAAGGGGTATTTTTTATATACACCCCTACATACTTATTAACCCTTAATAGATAACATGGGATGGGCAGCAGCATTGTAACCTAGCTGTGTGATACAAAAGTGAATACAAATACAAAGAAACTAGTCCTGAGCTCAAACTCCCATCACTGTACGAAAACCGCAAAGGAAATTATTAATAGAATGCTCCACTGGGTGGCCACCATTTGAACACACGTGTCTGAAACCATGGATGGTGGCCATATTGTTTCCCGAACGATGGCAGCGGAACTTGGTCATCGAGTGCCTGGATCTAATTTCGGCTAGGCAGTCCCACGAACACATCATGGACCCACGGGCTCGTTACAGTTTCAGTTCACCTATACGAACAGCGTTCGGGAGTTCCAGATGACATGGGGAGCTGACCATACAATGACCGGTTTTCCTCTATCTTATGTGGTGTTTGTACAAAACCCCAAGAACGGCTATTGCCACCATTTCCATTGAACTATTTTGGGCTCCAACCTCGTGGCAGACCAGTCAGAACGTCCCTGCAAAGGCGATTTAAAACTACCAAACGGATCTGGGGGATTTTTGGATATATTGTTCGCCCAGATCTAAGCTACCCAGGGATGTTTTGTGGGGTTTCCCTGTATTTTGGGGGGTACTTTTGGGGTGTTGCAAAATTGTGTATTTTTCTGTACTTGGAGATAATTGAGTTTAGTATATTTACTGACTCAATTATCGCTCAGTCACAGAGGAGGAGTTTATGGAATGGACTGTATACATTTGATGCCTGTACTTTCATTAAAATCAGTCTTTACCTAGCATTAAAGGGTTATTCTATGTCAGTGATATTTTGCCTGTGGGAATTATTTGCTGTTTCACTTGGAAAAGGCGTATCCGTGACGGTGATACCTTGGCAGACCATCACATTATCGTTCTGCCAAAAATCTTTTTTAATCCACATTACAAATCCACAACACTGACACTGCACAAAAATACACACATCTTCACAATCTCCTGCAACTCACAAGTATAGTCTGCATTCACACTCTGTTTCACTACTCAAATACAATTCACACAAGCTGACCACCCACTGGCTTGTTAACTTCAAAAGAGCAATTAACTCAAGTGCTTTCCCTGGGTGACCACCATTTGTAAAACCTAACACATGTGCTCTAGTGTATGGTGGCCATTTTGTCTCCTGAATGCAGGCTGCGTTACATTGTCGTTGAACGCATGGAACTCATTTCGGATACATGATCCTGCGAAGCCTGGGGAAAACGGTACTACTGCCCGTTCCACTACCAGACAAGTTAGGAGAACACCATTCAGGAGAAAGGAACTAGTGACTGGTGGGCATTTGTTTCCTAAAAGCCGGGGAGCATTCATCAGGGTTCGCATAGGAACTCCTGAAAGAAGTCGGCCGCTGCCCCTCTTCTCCTGGAACTATTTTGGGCTATCACCTCGTGGCTGGCCGGTCAGAACCCGAATGGCAATTCCGTTCCACCAAAGGGATCTGAGCGCTATTTTGAAAACTTGGGCGCTTAGATGCAGGTTATTCGTGGATATAAGTGCTGTGGGGTTCCTGTGTAGTATAACTGTATTTTCAGGGTGTTTTATGTATTTCATGTATGGTTCCCTGTAACTTAGAGGTAATTTAGTTACTGGTCTTTAACTCAATCATCCCCCAGACACAGGGACGCCTGGGAGCGGTTTTTGTTGTGTTGAATGGAGACCCTATGTGCATGAAAGCCACGTGGCTCAATAAACTTCAATTGTACTCCTAGAACTTTTCAGAACTTGTTCCTGAGTTCCAGTTATCCCGGATCCAGCCGAGGACTAGTGCTCTGCTACCGAGCCCTTTAATGGTTAATATGTACATTACATCTTGCTTGGCTTTTATGTTTCAGTTATGTCACACTGACGGTTATTTGCTCATGTTTGTTTACATATCACTGGTATGCTGTTTCACAATTTTCCTTACGTTGGATAGCAATTGATTGTGTTTCTCAATTATGCTGAATTGCGCTCATTTAACTGTTAATTGTTTCTTAAGTT